GAGATAGGGTCACAAAACTTGTCTCCTTGAGAATACCCAGTGAACGACTTGTGCTAACAACAAAGAAATTCTATATGGCTGATCATTGAGAGAAGAGAAAGTATTATGGAATTAAATCTAAGTAGGCAATGACAGACCCATGTTTTTGTTTTCATTATGGTTTTCAATGGTCTTACTCCTAACCTCTTGGAACTGGTAAAGAATAACGCTACCCGCTATACCTTATCCTTTAGCTATAGCCGTATTAGATAATAAAAAGAGGAATGGATAGAAGAATCAGTGTTGAATTGCTATAGAAAAGTAAGTTTATATTTTTTCTTTTGAAAAGTGTTACAGAGTCTCATTTAACGATCTTCTTTAACATTTGTAGCATTAAAACTTGATGTTCTCAGAACATCAAAAACATCTTGTTTTCCTCCTCACTTTGGATTATCCCTCATCAATGTACTTTAATCCACATCATTGGTTGACATATTTTTATAAAAAACTACTAGATTTTTCTCTCAGATTCAGAAAATAAAAGTCTGATTAATGTGGAAATTGGTTTTGCGATATAAAACATTTCGAAAAATCTTTACTTCAAACAATTATGCCATGGTAAGCAACCTTCTCAGATTTGAGTGTACTCTATGTACTCATTTTTCCTCCACTGCTTTATCTCTAAGAGACTACCTAGCTTCTTACACACAGTTAATGAAGAATAACATTAGAGTATGACTGGAAAGTTTTTCATCTAACTCACCCATTTCTGATCACGTTTCTAGACTTTCTTTATGACTCATAGATACCCAACACTCACTATGTTCACACGGAATTCTTGTATTCCCCCATGCTTTCAAATCTAGCATAGTCACATGTTTAATATAGTCATATATTTGCTATCCTAGTATCAGACATTACCACTGCCTTACCCGTATCCTTTATATCTCACATTCATTCTGTATCTTACTTTTGATCTTGTGCCCCCCTATATTTTAAGTCTATTCACTACTCTCCGTAGGTACCACTCTGGGTCCATTTTATCTCATCTAAATTATTGTAACATTTTCCTTCATAATATTAATCTTACAGCCTGCCTGCTGTCTTCTCTTCTGATTCATACCCCCTTTTTTCCTGAGCTTCCTATGTGACGGTCATACTGACTTTCTTATCTCTAATGCAACATACACATACTTTGTTTGTAAAACTTATATTACTTACTTTTTCTTAGATACATATTGACATATTTGTATCTGAAGTTATACATGGAAATAATTTAAAATCATGCTTCTCTGGGATTATTTTTCTAGCTTCCAAATAATTTTAATTAGAACCATCTTATTCTTAAATGTCTGGCTCATTTTTATTGTCTTTTTTGACTAATATTCCTTTAATGTAGAAAATAGTATAGATACTGTCACTTGATCACTTGACATCCCATTACTCACCGATTTGCTTGAGTGTGCACCAGTAACTTCTCCATTCGTCCCTGTCACGTGCTAGTGTAGCCCAGTGGTGTCTGCTCACTCCAGAAACACGAAGAGCCTCAAACCAATCATTCAGGGTCTTGACAAAGAAGTCTGACGATCCTGTAGGTGCACGGCCACGCGATCTTTCTGACATCTCATGGAATCCAGTTGGTAACGGCTCTAGTCCAGCGGTTGCCTCCAAATCTCATTACGTGTCCAGCCCATCTGATTTTTGACACCTTGGCAAATGAGACAGCATCCCTGATTATTGACCGTCGACAGAGGTGGGAACTCCGGATTCCTTCTCTCATTTGAGTGAAGTGTGATACTCCAAGAATAGCTCTTTTGATTCCTCTTTGGGAGACCCGAATAGCGTTCTCATACTGTTTTCCTAGGGCCCAGGTCTCTGAGGCGTATGTTAATGCAGGAAGAACAGCGGAATCAAAGCGATGTGCCCAGAGACAGAGGTTATTCGTCCTCTTAGCTATTTCCTCGATGCTCTTGAAGGCATTCCAAGCCACTCTCTTCCTCCTGTGCAACTCAGGTGCCAGGTCATTCATCATGTTGACTTCTCAACCTAGGTACACATAACTGTTGCATTCGGAGATGTTTGTTCTGTTGAGAGTGAATGGAACGTCAGGAACGAGACTCTTTCTCATGAACATTGTCTTTGTGAGATTCAGCTGTAGTCCGACCTTTCCACACTCATGGTCAAAGTCGGCCAGCTTAGTGCTGCTTGGCTAATGTTTGGTGTTATTAGAATGATGTCATCAGCAAAATGGAGGTTGTGTAGTTGCCGACCGTCTATCTTCACTCCCATTCCTTCCCATTTCAGCCATCGCATGACGTTCTTGAGGGTGACACTGTAGAGTTTTCGTGAAATGGTATCACCCTGCCGAACCTCTCTCTTGACATGGGTGATTACTTCTTTGTAGAATGGTGAGATCCTGGTAGTGAATCCTTAATACAGCTCATGTAGGATCCTGATGTATTGAGTTTGAACACCTTGTTTTGCTAGGACTTCAATGACTTTTTTATCTCAACACTATCAAAGGCCTTCTTTAAATCAATGAATGTTAGACACAGCGGCATCTTGAACTCCCGAGAAACCTCAATGAGCTTGGTTATCATGTGGATATGGTTAATTGTGCTGAATCCTTTTTGGAACCCAGCTTGCTCGCATGGTTGTCCTTCATCTAGTGTTCTGCCAATCCTATTCATGATGACTCGAGTGAACAGCTTGTAGACAACAGACAACAGGCAGATCGGGCGATAGTTGCCAATGTTGTGGATATCTCCCTTCTTGTACAGTAGTACGGTCCTGCTGGTTTTCCATTGGGATGAAACCTTGCATTCAGACAGGTAGCATGTGAAGAGCCAAGCCAGTGTATTGATGAGTACTGATGGCAGATTCTTCAGGTGTTTGGGTCTGACCTTTGTCTGGGCCAGGTGCTGTTTGTTTCTTTACTGACAAAATAGCATGTCGGATTTTGGAAGGGAGAACATTGGGAACAACATATCCATCCTGCAGTATATTATGTGGGAAGGTGAATGTGGCTATCAAAGAGATCCGAGTAGAAGTCATGGGTAATCTTCTCCATTGCCCTTCTGGAAGATGTGTGTGATAGATCCATCAGGACGTTGAGGGCAGTCATCTTGGTCTTGTAGTTGACGAAGGACATGCAAACATTGTAAATGCTTACTGTGTTTTTTTTCAATGTTTATGGAGTCAATTGGCATGTTAATAAATATATAGACAAATATACTTAATAGTCTAAGTTATTAGTTATAATTTTCCTAGTTATGTAATTTACTATACTTCATTTTGGGCATATTTAACTCCCGAGAAACCTGATATCGGAAAGTGAACCTAAGGCCTCACGTTTGCAAGAAAAGTGCTTTATCCTTAACTCTTAACTTTGATTTTATGGATCTTATTGCATATTTGTAATATTTATCATTTTAGGATTAGAAGATATGGCTTTGACGTCTCTGTTCTAGGTATTATGCCATTGTTGATTTTCTTAGAATATCATTAAGGAAATTTTATTAAAATTTTAGCTTCTGTGTCTGGATGTCTAGCACAGGTTAACTGTAAATATGTTCAACAATATTCTGTCACTACTTTCCATTTTTATATGCAAAAAAATAAGGAGGCACTTAAAGATTAGACAGTGAAGGAAGCTGACTGAATATGGTTTAATAGACAACTGAGGACGTTACTTAAAATGTTATGAATAGTCAGCTTGAAGTAAAGATTTGTTGAAACATTTGGTATAGCACAACCAGTTTTCATATTAATCAATCCCTTACTAATACCTTGCTAAATTTTTTATTCTCAGGGAAAAAACAGATTTTAATTTCTCTATATATGTAAGCACACTTTTGAATTTATTAACATGGTCATTAAATATTGAGTATCATCATAGAGATATTCTACTGTGGGAATGCTTAGAATGAGAAAGAAACACTGCATATCTCTCTATCCTCTCTTATCATATCAATAAGGACTGATCGTCATTTCCCTAATGCGGAATTGTAAATCAGAGGCAAGAAGTAGCTCTCTATTAATATTATATCATTCAAATGGAGAAATTCATGTTGAAATCTGAATCCTTCTCAGTTAAGTGCTGTTTCTTCTCTATTCCATTATCTAAACAACTATTCTAGGTATATAATATTTCTATAGTTGTTACAATGAATTGATACAAACCTGAAAAAGCAACAGTTATATTTCTTTATAGTTGAGAAAGTCAGAAATCAGGAATCTTAAGTCAACAAATTACCAGTATTTTTTGCTTCTCTCGTTCTGGTACAGAGTGGGAAAGGAACCCTTTCTTCCTCTTTTAGTTTCCGCTAGTGCCCAGGTATTCTTTGGTTTACAGTTATATAGCAGCATCTGTGTTCATGTTGTCTACTTTATGTATGTTTCTTTTTTCCTCTGTCTCTAGTAAGACATGTCCTTGTAGTTTAGGCACACCTTCATAATAAAAGATGATGTAATCTAGATATACTAATTTAATCTAACCTGCAAACATACTTTGGGTAAATAAGGGCATATTCATTTACAAATTCTGGGGATTAGGTAAAACAATATATTTTAGGGGATCACCATTAAACCTTCATTACTATTCTGCTTTGAAAAGAATAGGAAAAGAATAGAAAAAGGTACTTACACTGGGCAGAAAATTAAAATTTTAATAATAATGACACACAGAGATATGAATAAATAGGAAGTTCATGTTAGTTTTTCAACAGGACTACAGGTAGGTTAGTGTTTGTTCCTCTGTCACTAAGAAAACAAGAATGACAGTAACTCACAGGATGCTGATCAATTCTTTGGAATAGCTTCATCAAACCAGTGACCTTTTACCTGTTTGGTTGAAAATTGCGATCAATAAATATGTAGAAAGACACCTGTTTTTTCTTCTTGATGCCAACCTATTGTCTATGTGAATCCATATATTTCTCTGTATATTTCATCTCTGCTATCTTTGAAAATATGTATTGAAAACATAACGTCTTAAACTTGTCCCCACTTTTCTATTTTGACATCAGATGGATATTGTGCCTACATGCATAACAAGAGTTAAGGGACGCACATAACACACAAATATGTGAACACCCAATCATCATGCTTATATAAGAACCAGAAAAGAATCTCTTTTTTTTTTTTCACTTCTAACCTGTTATCACTTGAAAACTTTTACTTCACACCAGGTACCTTAGTATATAAAATACACATAAAAATGAAACATTCACTGACAGTCATAAATAAATATATATAAAACAAATTTAAAAAAAATTTCACAGCTCCTTTATTCAGTTATATGACCCTGTTTTGGATAGCAACCCATAATGTTAGATGCTAAATATACTTTAAAATAAAGAATAATATTTTGTTCTCTGTTCCTGTTTTAGTTTCCAAACTTAAACTTTTTACTAGTGTATTCATATTCTTACATTTCATAACTAATTCTGAGATTAACTACTCCATTACTGCCATAATCTCATTATGTAATAGGGCAATTTTCAATATCCTTCACTAACTTTTTTGAACCATTAATCCCAAATTAATCTGCAGCTCTTCCACTTGTAATGTTGCACACATCTCTCTCCATTTAAACATTGTGGGCTGTAGAGAAGAAAAAAAACATCATTTTGCACATCCCAGAATGCCAGAATTTGGCATAAAAGTAATAGCATCAGTAGCTCATTTTGATCAACTTCATGAGTCTCAGAGTTTTTGGTTTCTTCACTGTAGATTTATGATAAAAATAATTGGCAAAAGATCAAAATTATTTATAGATTGTAAGTTTGAGTGGTAGTTGATATTTCACATTCTTTAAAAATGTAATTTGTGGGACTAGTGATATGGCTCAAATTGTTGAGTTTGTGCTTTGTACTCTGTAGTTCTGTATTTGATCCCTATATCACATTGTACCATCTTTGCTGGGTGTGACTCTCCAACACTGAGCTGGCAATAGCCCCCTCAACACACATATATTTATATACACATATACACATCTCCCAGATCTCCCAGCCTACTCGGATTGGAGTCGAGCATCCTCCACCCAGATCTTCCAAATTCCAGTAGGCGGGGTTCACACCCACCACCTGGCCCCCTGGCGCCATGTAATCCCATCAACGGCCAAGACTCAGAGACTATAAAATCCAACTCCCGGACGAGAACAGTGCAGTCTTCTGCCCCCACGCCTGGGTGTTCCTTCCCGGAGCCCCTTGGAGGGGAGCGGGTTGAGCTTTCCTCCCCGCCCCGACCAGGGCTCCGGCAGCCGAAGACCTCCAGGACCAGCCACCACCATGCTGAGACCACTCTCCGCACACATGAAGGTACTGGCAGAGGGACAAATCCACGCGGGTTCCGGGGCCGAGATCTCCCAGCCTACTCGGATTGGAGTCGAGCATCCTCCACCCAGATCCTCCAAATTCCAGTAGGCGGGGGTCACACCCACCACCTGGCCCCCTGGCGCCGTGTAATCCTATCAACGGCCAAGACTCAGAGACTATAAAATCCAGCTCCCGGAACCGTGCGGCCGCATTTGCGGCTGCACGACATCTTATCAGGACATCTTTTTATGACATCTTATTATCTCATTCCTACTTTGGACAAACTTGCAGGCTATCGAATGTAGCCTGCCCACAGGGCAGAGTCTGGCAAACTCCCCGTGGCGTACCAAATATGCCAAATACCAGTAACAATGATGGGTCTCATTCTCCTAAAGAGCCTTGAATATAATCTCAGGGCTAGGATGAAAGAGACGTTACTGGGGCCTGCTCGAGGCAATTGATGAATAACAGGATGATGAAAAAATGAAATGAAAAATATACACATATAGACGCATATATAAATTGTGTCATTTTTTATCAAAATGCTTGTTTGTGTTTATGCTCATTAAGAGTAATGATATTTATCCAGTTTCTTTGATTTTTTGAAGTGCTATATTAAAAGGTAACTCGCTGAATATTGAATGATCTGATACAACTCTTTCATTTCTTTTACAGAGAAACAGAGGCTAGACATTTTATTTTGCTTACTCATACAACTTGATATTCCTATCAGTTATCTCTTCAATTTTAGTAATTTGAATGATACTCTTTAGGAAGATTATATTCATTATTTTCTCATATTAATCACTGGCAAATTATTGAATGAAGACAAGTTTCAGTATGTACTCACATGAAAATAACTTTTTAATCATTTTAAAATAAATTTCAGGAAATGTTCTATACACTGAGTTACAGTGATATAATGCACAGCTATAATAGGTACTTTTTAAATGGTCCTTAGTCACCTCTATACCTTAAATTTCAGTCACTGTCCTCCCATTGTTCATCGATTTTCTCCAGTGGGCCCAGTAAAGTCTCCATTTTGAGAGTTGTTACTGTGTTTGGCATATTGAATACATCACGGGTAGCTTGCCAGGCTTTGCCAAGCGGGCGAGATACTCTCAGTAGCTTGCCAGGCTCTCCGAGAGGGGCGGAGGAATCGAACTCAGGTCGGCCATGTTGGCTGCGTGCAAGGCAACCGCCATACCACTGTGCAACTTGTTTAATGGACTAATCATGCCACTGAGGCAGAAGAGGCACAAGGAAGACTGATCAGCATCAGTGTCAGAGAATGGGCAAGAACAGATAATGAAAGACCTGATTGATTGTGGTTATGAATTTGAATTACTTTACTCTTATTATGCATGTAGACAGTGAATTTTATACATAGAATGTGGCCTGCCTTTCATTTAGGAGAAATATGACTTCTGTTTAGGAAATGATTTACAAGAGGAAGAAAAATCAATTTGGAGGCCTTATAGGAAATTATGATTTGGTTTGATGATAGAAGTAGTGAGAAGAGGAAAGGGTTGGAATGTACTTTTCAACTGAGTTAATGGGATTACTGATGAATTTGGTGTGTTGGGTGAGGCATAGGAGTTCTAATATTTGCCCTAATATTTTATTTTTCTAATATTGCCCTAATATTAGTCCTAATATTTGCCCTATCTACTGGACAGACAGTGCTACCTTTCACTGAGAAATACTGTTTGGTTAAAGGTGGAGTGAACTTACTGAATCTTATTGAAGATTTGTATGAGATATGTAATTTTAGTCTTTAGTATGTTTGTAGAACACAGGAAGTACCAATTAATATCTGCTGTGCAGTGATACAGTTTGCTACAGAAAACCTTATAAATATCCAAAAGTATCATGTTTTTCATGAGTTTTATTTATATAGTTTTATTTAACCTTTGTGGTAGAAATTTGTTAGGGGGTATTTGAATGGTTAAATAGTGTGCATGGACTTCATCTTTCAACGAAGTGAGTTAATCAAACATTATTTCACATATCGCAGATGCTGAAAAATCCACAGAGGAAAAAATCAATGTAGTATTTTTGTTATAAATTATTATTACTTAAATATCAAATACAAGATAACCTTTGCTCTCTCCTTGATTCAGACTTTATTATAGCTTCTTCTAATCATGCCTTTTCTTTATTCATTAGTAATTCATTCATGCCATCTTGCTCACCTTAAAAGTGTATAGCTGTTTTGCTTTAAGCTCTATAAAGTGATGTGAGGACTTTGAGTAACTCATTTTTTCCAAAAAGGAAAACCCCTAAACACATTTTACAGTGAGAATAGATAGTAAAAATTATTATGATTACATGAATGCCTTTTCTTCGTGAGACAATAAATATCAGAAACCAAGAGCCAAGACAGAAAATGCCAATGACTCTAATAGGGCTTTATAATGAGAGAGTAACAACTGTCTGACTCAGTGTCTTAAAATAATTTTAAAGAGAGAGCTGCTAAATATCTTTCAGACTAGTTGGACTTCAGCGTCCTAAATGAGTAGTCAGCAGAATGTCTTTAGATTTCTATTTTCTGCCTAATATGGAGTGATTCTGTAACCCCCTGGAAATTTTTGAATTAACGTAGATAACAAAGTATGAAACTAAGGGAAAATTGCCTTAATCTGCTAATTCTGAACAAATATATTGTAAATGCTATGTACTTTGAGATACTAGTATGAACTGGCATATTATAAAATTAAATTGCATTGTATAGTGAATTGTATTGTTCCGTCAGGTTTTGATATCCTCACTTTAAATAATTCATGGGAAGAAATGATCACTTCATAATGCCACAAACTCACAGCAGGCAAAACTAATTTTACACAATATGAAAACAGATTTTATTTATTTAAAAGGAATATTAAAAAAACACAACAACAACTTTTTTGACACCAGCTGCTGAGAAATAAATAGAATAGTTTATGACAAAAAAATTCTAAAGCTATAAAAGCTGTTCCTGGGAGACCAAGTTGAGAATTGTAAAGAAACGTTTAAATGCCTGGTCAGAGTTTTAAGTCTTATATGGAGGGAAAAGAACCCTCCCACCGTATTCACTGTCTATGGGGATAAGATAATACTAGGCAAGAAGTAGTCTTACAAAAACTCTCCTGATATCCTCAACACAGTGTCAACATAGGAACAGTCTTTGGGCATCAATTCAAGGATCCCCATTAGTCCAAGTAACGCCCATAAGCTTAGAGGTAACTAACTCGATAAATATAAATAAGAAATAATTGTTTGTTCAAAGCATACCTAAGTGTGTGTGTGTATATATATATATATATATATATATATATATATATATATATATAATATTTGAAAACGGCCAGAATAATTTCCCTTTCACTATGGATTTTCAGGTGGAAGGAGAAAATAAGGTGAAGGTAAAATGAAATTTTTTTCAAGGGGAGTTTATTAGGTGAACATTTTAGTAAGAAATAGAGATGCTGTTTTAATAAACATTAAAAATATCTAGGCTGGCTGTTCAATTTGCTAATGACTCCATATCTGACTCAATCAGAGGCTGACTTTAGACAAAGAACGGGACTCATGCCATGAGTGGCTCTGGGTTTAATCTCCACAGCATTAGGTTACAGGCATCCAGACAGCTCCGTTCTTTTTCCTGAAGCTTCCATGAGAGAGCAACTGTAGAGACAGGGGCCAGGTTTGCAATGAGGCATCTAATATGAACAAAGAAAAAAAAGAGCAAAGTTTAAAAGATTAAAGTATTTTCTATCACCAAAGCAGTGAAAACACATTCCTATGGTAATGCAGATGTTGATTATTAAGTTT